CCCGGCCCGGCCCGCAGCGCCCAGCGCCGCTCCGCTCCGTCACTCATTTCTAAGAGGTTCCCGGCTGCTGCGAACACGCTAAAGCTGATGAGGAGAACATGGGAAACATCCAGCAAACTTCTGCACTCTCTTTTTTCCTTTCTTTCTTCCCCTCTTTTCTTTTTTTTTCCTCTCAACGGAATCCAGTAAAAACAGGCTAATCTTGTAGGAAATACCTGGAGCTTGCCAAGGAAATGCTTTTCGCCCCGCGATGAGCTTGAAGCTGACAGCCCCTTTCTTTTCCCCCCCTTCCTTCCTCCTCCTCGCCGCCGTGGTTTGCAGGACGCTCCATTGGGTCCCCACCGCGCCGTAGGTGAGCGGTGCAGCGATGGGGGTGTAGGAGGACGAGTGGCTGCCGGAATCCCCTCGCTGGGGCCGGGGCGGTTCTCGCATCCTCGGGGCACGAGGACCGCCCCTTTTGTTTGGTTTTGTTTGCTTTATTTTGTTTTGTTTTGTTCTCCTCCCCCTCTGCCTCCCGTCAGAAACTCGCCTTTTACTCCAAAATGCAAGAGGCGCCGGAGAGCGGCAGCAGCGCCAGCACGAGCAGCTCCTTCAGGCCGCGGCCGGCATAAAGGGGGAGGGGGCCAGCCCCGAGAAGGAGCGACCCCCCGAGGCCGAGTACATCAGCTCGCGCTGCGTCCTCTTCACCTACTTCCAGGGGGACATCAGCGCCGTGGTGGACGAGCACTTCAGCCGGGCGCTCAGCCAGCCCAGCAGCTTCTCGCTCGGCAGCGCGAAGGCGGCGCGGAGCGCAGGATCCTGGCGGGGTGAGCGCGGGGGAGCGCGCAGGGAGCGCGGGCGGTTCGCCGCGCCGAGGGGGCTGCGAAGGGCTGTTCCTACCCGGGGGCGGCCGGAGGGAGACACCTCGCAGTTTCTTCCCTCCGCCGTGAACTGCCCCGAGTCAGCACTTGGGGATTTTCGGGGGCCCTCCCCGGCGGGGCTCCCTGCCCAGCTCAGCGCCCGCCCCAGCATTTCCTAGCCTCTCCGTGGATTCCTGCCGGTGGTTAGGAAGGCTGAAATACTACTTGGAATATTTCACGGGCGAAAGATATTCGGCACTGGAATTGCCAGCAGGAGAGGAGATTGCCGTGCCCGTAATGAACCACTTCCCTTTCTCCTGAGCATTGCCAGAGGCATGGAGCTGGCGGACCTCCCGGCCAGATGTGTGTTACCAGCACAGCTTTTATTTGTCTCCAGCATGCACAGCATTCCCGATCAATAATACTTAACATCTCTGTCCTCGCTATTAATATTCACTATTTCATCTTGCCTGCTGCTTAACCAGTGAAGAAAATGTAGCCTTTGCCCTGCCAGCCCTAATCAGATCTGCAAAATGCTTCCCAAATATATGTTAATATATACCCGAGATACAGGCATAAGTCCAGTGTGATAGATGGGGAAATTGCCCCCAGGTGTTCAGCAAATTCAAGCTGATTCCCAGTAAAAATCTCACCACGCTCTAAAATTGTGCTAAGCAGCAAGCAGTTGCCCTGCAGAATCACGCATCCTCTGAGGTGCTGGGAGTAAATGAGAAAAATAAGAGAAAAATGAAAAACAACTTTGGAAACTACCGTGGGGTAGTAGTTTCCAACTGTCGAGGAAGAGAGACATCCCTCACCTTAGATTAATCTTTTTTTTTTTTTTTTCCCCATGGAAAGAAACCTGGAGCAAATCACTGCAGGTTCTGGGATAAACCCTTGGCTAGATCTGCTGGATGTTTAGCTGGAGGGCATCTCTATTTGCCGGGAGCAATTGTGCTTGGCCTTTGCCTGGGGGATACGGGGAACTGGAGGCCCTGGTTTTGAGTGAGGGGCCTGGTAAGGGACAAGCGGATGGGGAAGGCTATGGGTGCTCCTGCTTATTTTCTTCTCCCGCTGTGTCCCCCTAGACGGTTCCTTCCCCATGAGCCAGCGCAGCTTCCCACCGTCCTTCTGGAACAGCACATACCAGCCCTCGTCTGTCCCTGCCACGCTGAGCAGCCCCTTGGCGG